GGCATAATAATTTTTGATATGTCTTTGTCCTTTAAAAATAAATACTGATATCCTGATTATTTTTGCTCCCAATTGTGAGATATTTTTCTCGAGTAATCTGTAAAGTTGTCCAGGATCTTTTCACTGGAAAGTTGGTTAATTTATACCCTATTAATTCTTATGGGTAATTAATTAATGAATTAATAATGTGCATTAATTTTCATTATGGTTTACTATACACCATGTATGCTCTACTGCCTGTCATTGTGTTGATCAAATTGCATGTTTGAAATTCCTTCTGAAGACCATCACAAATGCACTAGAGAACCAACTGCTCTGTATATCCTTCATCATCCACAGATTTTGTCATTACATGGTTCATTCCCATGACATCCTTCAGATTATTGAAGTGTACTTGCCTGTGGGTTTTTTTTTTCCTGAGTATTGCCACCTTGATTTGGATCCCTCTAGTCTAGAGTCTTTCCTATGGTCTTGCAGATCTCTTAGAAACGTTTGCCCTCCTCCACAATCATGATGAAGACTGGTAGTTGAAGAAAATGAATTGTACATGAGAATTCTCGTTAGAATGCCCATTACCATCTCATTAACTTCTTCACTGCATCTGATCTTTCTTTTAGATCTCCTTTCTTTAGAAGAAGAACTACACATCTCACAACCCATATCTAGTTATTTCTTTCATGAAGTATATGCTTTATGTGTTCCTCATATGGCACCGTTACCTTCAGCTTCTGGCATGGAAGTTGGTATAGGTGGTGGCTAAAGGTTTTGGTCTTGGAGAGAAATCACATGGGTGTGTTGAAAGGAGTGTGAGACATGAGGGGAGGAAGGCTATTTATATACTCTTCTCTCATCTGGAGGGTGGCAACCTGGTGGTCAATAAATAAAACAATGGCATGTGTTAGACAGTAGATACGTTGACCCTTTCATACTGCCAGGAGAGAAATAGAAATCAAAATTGATCAGTCTTTAATCTCGTTTCCTTGATATGTGCAGGGGTACATACAATTGTTACAGCACCTTCAGTGGGAACATATTTGAGAAATTATTTATGCGTTCAGCAGAATTTTTCATAAAGTTAGCAGTTCCAGGAAGCTGCTGGTTTTGTTGGTTTATGCTGTTCTTCAGTTGCTATTATGTACATTACCTGTTGGGTTTTAGTATTTTCATTTAACTTTTGTTCTAAATTGGATTTCTGACCAAAGACTTCTAGGTAGTGATCATTTGAAATGGCTTGCCTTCTTACAGTTTTTTTCATGATGTATTTTTTTAATATGGCTAAATCTTGCTCTCTATTCTTCATTCCCCTAGTGTAAAGGTTGGAAGAATTTTTCTGTTACTATGCCAAGGTTTTGATTTTTGTGTAGTTTTTGCTTGTTTGTTTTTTAACCCTCCCTTGAGGAATTATTTAACTTTTCTTCAAATGTGCTTATTTTGTTGCTTCATTCTAAGCTGGCTAACATGCGGAAGCTAAATTATTTTATGAAATGTTCTGGTCTTTAAGCAAATCAACAGAACAAATTGTGTGGTTTCTTTCCTCATAAGTTTATAAAAACCTATAGAATAATATGTATATTCATGGTCTGTGGTATAATAAATAGAAACGTGACTATCCAAACAAGCAGCTGAAGCAAATATTCATTTGCATCTTTCATCTTTTTAGATATTTCCAATTGAAAAGTCTGCTTCAAGAGAGTTGAATTGAGCTGTGCTGTGTCAAGCCAGAAAGAAGGATTTCAGATGTGTTAATCTAGCAATTGTTGCTTAGTGAATCTTTCCAGTGTAGTAATATTGCATTTCAAATTCTAAATGAAGTTTTCTGTTAATGTTTTAATTAATGTTTAATTAACATTGATAAGAAGTTAATGTTTAATTAACATTGATAAGGAATTAACATTGGTAAGAAGGAAATAGATGCTCTCTCTGTAAAATCTTACTTTTAATTTCATTTAAGTACATTTAAGTAAGATTTGATATCCTTAAGAAGTTTAGAAAATTCTGGTATTCTCCTTGTTGATGTCTTGGTATGGGAAAACAGATGCTGTTTACTAAGTTGGGAACTACAGTAGCTTCTGGTGTACCGAGCATCTTGTCATCAGCAGTAGGTACCAAGCCAGAGAGAGAGAGAGAGAGTGGTGGTGGTTTGAGAGAGCGAAGTACCAAGTTACAGTCTTTTTTGAGTAAACTGATGTTAAAGTGACTGTGTTGGGACATCTGGAGCTCCTGCCACTTAATTTAATGTCTATGGTTGTAGTTAGGAAAGGGAATACCTTCCTTTTAAGCTGTATGTAAAAATATTTCTTACATGAACAAAGAGCTGTGGTTCATCTTGAAAAAATAAAAATTGAAGAATGACTCCCTGCTCTTTAACCCTTTCCTCCCCAGTTGTCCAAATAGATTTAAACTGGAAGTTTAAAAGAAGGAGAGAAGGAAAAAAAAAAAAAGTGCTTTTGAGCATACTATTAACAAACTTTTCCTTTATCAAAAATATTTGAGCTGGTTAAAACCAATCTAAACATAATCTAAAGCCAGTACAAGTTGTAACTTTGTCTGCTGTGGGAGAGTTGCTCCATTTTAAGGACCAGCATGAGGCCATGGTAGGAGATGTTGTACCTGAAAAACAGCGAATTTGACATTTCTGCGGAGCAGCAGCTATTCATCTTCCTCCCTTCAAGCTAGTCTGAAAATTATTTTTGTTCACTGTCCTGTAGTGAGGTGCGGGTAGCCCTGCTTGGGAGCACATTTGTTTCCTCTTCCTTTCTGGATGGTAGGTCAGGTGTTGGGAGGTGAGGAGGACTGGTCTTGCCTCTCCTTAAATATGTCCTTTTTCCTTGGACTTATTAGCATTTTTATTGGTATTGCAGAACTACGTGGTACCCATGAAAAACTAAAAGATTATTATATTGTGAAATACAGTAAACGTTCTTTTTTTTTTGTCATTGTATCTACCCTTACCCTTCTTTTATTTGCCATCCTGTCCCTCAAAAGAGACGAGCGACAGACTGACCGACTGTGGCTATTTTTATACGGTGCACATATTAACCGTTGAGTAAATGTAAGAGGTTTTAAAGGGCTTATTTTAGCAGAAGCATTTGTTAAAGCCCCTATATCCATAGGCTGTGTGTATATTCATTAACTATTCAGGGCTGTAACATAATACAACAAAAGGAAGCGTATTTTAACAGAGATCTGTAACAACCGTACTCAGGCTGGCACCCAGCCAGCGGCTGAAGGCAGATGTTTCTTATGGCTATTTCTAGGCTTGTGGCATCTAGATATATTAAATTTATTTCTCGGATAACGAAACTAGCTAATACTTACTCCAGTGTCATGATCCTGCATTACAAAAATACATTATGTTTGATCCCTAGAAGTTTATTGTAATCAAATCTTTGAAGGCAGTGGAAAACTGAGCCTCTCCAGTTTCACCACCAGTGTGACAAGATTTATCCTTCACATAATCGCATCCGAAGCGGTTTGTGACAACGATGGGAAGAACTGAAGTGCTGGCATGACTGGAAAGTGCATAAATATTTAACAGAATATCCTGTCCTGTAGACTTTCTTATCTGTGGAAAGTCTCAGATTTTCCCCATTGCAGAAGCTTGGTGGTTTCACTGGTCAGGGAGGAGGCAGAGCGTTGCGAGTCTTTCCTCGGCAGTGAACGTGCATCCTTGGAGCTTGGAGTGTATCTGTGTACAGCTTCTGCCAGCTACTCCTTGTGAAAAGGGATGGAGATGCTTCAGCTCTTGGTCTACTGTATACTGCAAAATAGATTCTCTGTCCCAATGTGGCATGAAAATAGGAATTTGTTCCCAATCCAGTACGTTTTGGTGAATTAAAGAATATTTTGATAAAGGTAAATATCAGAGGAGAAGATAAATGAGATATGTAGGAATTTACTATGGTCAGAGACTCTGTTTTGTATGTGGAACGTCAATGTGATACACTAATATGTGCTGAAGCGTAAGATTTTTAAGCTTTTACGCAGGTGAGAAATCACGATTTTCCCCACCAGCGTGTTACCTGGTCAGCTGAACGCTACCGTTCTGCCCAGCTGCCCTGGGAATTACCCTGTTAGTTTTAACCACCTTGCTACTGTTCTGTGGCATGTTAAGCTAACAACGGATTGTCTGTTTTAAAAGTAAATCGCTTTATGGTGTGATGCTTTAAATAATATACATCTCCAGGCCTCTTTCAATATCAGCATGCAGATATATTTTAGTTCTTTTTCCTTTTGTTAATAGCTTGAATGAACTGGGAGGAAAGGTTTAAAAAGAACAAATGTGATTAAAATGGGTATCTGTGAAATACTTGAGTTGTGTTCCACATGAACGGAAATGTTAAAAGCCCATTTAGCGGCTGTGTCAGTACAAATTTTTCTGGTTCTTGAATACAGAAATAAATTCAAATGCTGTTGGTTAAATAATTCACATTTGTTTTAGGAGAAAAAGAAGACCTGGTCCCTTTAGCAAGTGCAATGGTTTCATTTTAAGTGATTTAAAAATTGATCACATTAAACTGATTTGAGTTCATTGAGGGATTTGCAGTTCTGTAATTAAATTGATATTTTAAATAGTTTTAAGTGTACTGTCCAGTTGGAAAGTGTGCAAGTGTATTTTCAGATAAAACTTTTTGTTTGTTTTTGAGATAAATGACTGTGTTGTGTTTAGAATGTAGTTACAGGCATATGACATTGAGTGGACGAATCATTCGGGAAAGGCAAGAATGTTGAATCAGTGACATTCTGTTTTTCAGGCATATCAATTATTTTGATGTATGTTGCAAACTGATACTTGTAGGAAAAAAAAAATCTCAGAGCTCCAAAAATTACCACGGATTATCTAGATAAAGCAAAATGCAATTTCTGATGTTACGATTTTATTTGAAATAATCAGCCTGTGTTTTCAAATAACAGATTTTGGGGTTTTTTTTGTCATGTTGGATTGTTGAATTACCTTTTTTCCTGAAGGAAAAAATTCAGTAACCATGTTTAATTTGCAGAGCACCAGAGATCATACTGGGATTGCCGTTTTGTGAAGCCATAGACATGTGGTCGTTAGGGTGTGTGATTGCAGAGCTGTTTCTTGGATGGCCACTGTACCCAGGAGCACTGGAATATGACCAGGTAGTAGAATACATTTCACAAGCGTATGCACGTTTTCTGCAACTTAAGAATTTCAGATCATTAAATCCAGGATTTCAAATGTTAATAACGTCCCTTATTAAGTAGTATTTCTTCAAGTCTGTTCAATCCTTTTAATTTAGTCTTATTGATTGTCCTAGAAACATAAATCCTGTTTCTAGACCAAACTGTATATTTTGCTGCTTTTCTAAATTAAAATTCAATTTCTCC